GATCTTTAAATGTAGGCGGGGCTTGCGGGGTCGCCGGGGGCGGTACCAACCCGGGCTCGACCAATCGGCGGCTCCGCCCGCGTCGCACCGCCCCCTCCTCTCCCGGCCCGGGCGGGCGCTCGCCCCCGGCCGGGCCCGTGGACAGGGCGGCGGGGGATGCACCCGCCGCCGCCCCTGGCCCGGCCTCCTCCGGGCCCCGCGTCCGCCGTCTGCTGCCCGCCCCGTCCGCGGCCCCGGCCCCGGCACGCACGCGAGGGTCTGCGGCCGCGCGGGACCCTCTCCCCTCCATCCTCTTCTGCCCGTGGGAGCCGAGCCCTGCAGGTACGGGGTGGGACGGACCAGAGCGCTCTAGGAGCGAGGCGCGTCCTGGAGGGGGGACGCGCGGTTCGGGACAGGGGCCAGGACAGAGGGTCTCCCTAGGGTCTGGAACCCAAGGGATGCAGAGAGGGAGGGAATGCATGTGTATGTGCACTGTCTGAGTGAGTGCAGATTCACGGACCCCCCACTCCGAAGGGGAAAGGTACTGGGTTCACTTTGGTGGGGGTAGAGCAGTGAGTCTCCAAACTCCATAGATAGGGTGGGGAGAGCTCTTGGGGTGTAGGCAGTAACCTGGGACTGAATTGGGAATGGGAGGAAGGAGACCCTCACCACTGGCCCCTAGGTACTGCCCTCAGGGTCGCACCTACAGGGGCCAGGGAACCGGGTCTCCCAGCTGTCCCTGGACAGAGGTTGGGGTACCCCCACAGAGCACTGCCTTGGCTGTCCTGGAGGGCTGCAGATGTGAGTGCTGGAGGCTGGGGGCCAAACTGGAGATGCTGATGGGTCAGAGTGGAGGGCGCTGTTGGAGGCAGCCATGGGGAAGGCTGGGCAGGCTAACTGCACGCTGCTGACTGCTGGCAGGTTTCTGACTGGTGTTGATGGGGGGGGGGGGGGGCGCCCAAGGGAACTGGGCAGTCGGTGCCTTACTGTACCCATTCCCGGGCAGCTCAGCGCTAGGAGGGCATGTGGATCCTGTCCACCCTGCAGTGCTAGGGCCAGAAGAGTGATGCTGGGTGGGGTGTCTTGGGGACCTTACCCAAGGTGTGTCCCCACAGGGACACACGCCCCACAGCTTGCCCACACATCCTGGAAGGTTCTGCCATGTGCTGGTTCCTAAAAGTGGTGGGGTGGGCCCTAGTTCCTAAAAGTGGTGGGATGGGCATTTTGCCCCAAGGGGCTCTGTCTTGGAGACTGACAGGCAGGGGGCACCTTCTTGCCCAGCTCTAAAGGATGGAGTGTGGCCCTGGGCAGCTCCACCACCACAAATGTATCCATGGCCACACGCTAAGCATTTCCCAAGTGAGATCTCACTTTCATCCTGGCCGCCGACCCACTGCGGGGGGGCACCAAGGCCCCTGAGGAGAGGGCAGTGACTTCATCCCAGCTAGGACGCCCAAGGGTCCCTCCCAGGCAGCCACTGCATTTGTGAAAGGGCTCATCATTTGTGAAAGGGCTCACTCAAGGACCCTTGGGATCTGGCCAGTTTGCATTTCTGTTGGGTGGGAGACCTTGGAGGAGCTAGCTCTCCTGTTCCCTGCCACCTGCCTACCTCCTCCCACTCCTGAGTCCTCCTGGGTACCCCCTGCCCTTTGTGGCTCACAAGGTTCCCACAGCATCTCTTGGGATGGTGTGGAAGCAGGGACTTGGCTCATCCTTCCATCCCAGCCTTCAGTGAACAGAGGTCTCATGCCCCAGACATGTTAGGTGGTTTTGGTGATTCTAGAGGCCCTCAAAACCAGATGCGGCCCAGTAGGGTGTTTCTAATGTTTTAGAACCCATTGGCAAACCCATGTCCTTCACCCAGAAAAATACACCCTTCCATAGACATCCAACCTTGGCCAGAGTTTCAGAGGGACTCCTGATTCTTTGGGAATTTCTTTCTTTCTTTCTTTCTTTCTTTTTTTTTAAGATTTATTTTTTCATTTGACAGAGAGAGACACAGCGGGAGAGGGAACACAAGCAAGGGGAGTGAGAGAGGGAGAAGCAGGCATCCCGCCGAGCAGTGAGCCCGAAGCAGGGTTTGATCCCAGGACCCTGGGATCATGACCTGAGCCGAAGGCAGACGCTTAACAACTGAGTCACCCAGGCACCCCTCTTTGAAAATTTCTAAGGAGCCCTGGGACCCCAGCTTTAGGCCCAGTTGCAGTAGAGGAGGGGAAGGCAGACCTGAGCAAGTGGGGGGTTTCTTGTCCCCACCCAGCCTCGCAGAAGCTGCCCCCTTCTATGGAGAGTCAGGCAGGACTCTCTGTCCTTCCGTGTCCTCTGAGATCACGGGTATGGTCAGACGCCCACAATGCCTGTGTCCCAAGCTCTGTGGCCCGTCAAGGGCAGGGCCGAGCTGGCTCCCTTCTCAGATGGTGGCTTGGCAAGAGGGAACTTGGCAGATCTAGCCACTCACTGCCCCCAGATGGTACCAACTTAGTTCTTGCCCCTCCTGGCTTTGTGACCTTGGGCAAGGTGCTAAACATCTCTGAGCCTTGTCTCCCATCTGTGAAATGGGACCAGGATGGCCACCTACCTCACTGAGTGGCAATGGGGATTAAACGTGGTAATTCTCATAAAGAGCTCAATAAAGGCCACAATCAGCACTGGGTATACATTCACATCGTGGGCCCTGGAAGCTCCACCCCCCTGCTGCCTCTCTCCCTCCCAGAGGCCACCTGTACCCATCCCCCCAACCCCTCCCTGCCCAGGGCACCTTAGGACGAGGCTGCCAGGCAAGGAGGAGCATGGCGGACACACGGCTGAATTTGGCCTGTGCGTCGGGCGGCTGAGTCACATCCCCAAACTGCATCTTCATCAGTGCGTTTCGGAAGGTCGTTTGCCGCACCCCACCCCCCCCCAGGCGCTGTCTGCCAGGCCACTTGCCTCTCCTACCTATGCCCCTGAGCCCCAGGCGAGGGCCTTCTGCGCTCTCAGGAGAGATGGTAGGAGTGGTGCCTGGGGTTTCCTCATCCCCCGGGTGCGAGCAGGGTCTGGGATTGCTGCGCGCGTGTCCCGGTGACAAGCTCGCAGCCCTGCCAACAGCTTATGGCCCTCTGGGTAGCAAGCAGGGGCCCTGGCCCAGGAGGAGAGTGGCACCTGAGTGTTTGTGAAGGTGGAGTGAGAGATCAGGGCCAAGGTCAGCCTTACAAGCTGGGAAGTGCTGGGCCTGCAGGAGACCAGCCCGTGTAAACCATGAGGCGTCAGACCCATGTAAACCATGAGGCCAGGCATCATCAGCGGAAGCATCAGGCCACAGGTGGCCCTGGCCTGGTTGATGTGATGGGATGGCTGGGAGTGGTGAGGGAAGGGACACTTTCTGATGCTCACGAGGTCACTGCCATGTCATGGAAGGGGCATTTCTTGTGTTCCTACTGTGTGCTGGCACCAGCATATGGGGACATGTCATGGATGGGTCAGATGCTGTCTTGGGGGTGCCAGACAAGGGGCACAGGTGGTCCTGCCCTGGCCAAGGTAACCCGTGCCCTTCCTGGTAGCATGGCTTGTCTCATCCTGTCCTGGTGTGACAGTTTCCGTGTCTGTCTCCCGGAGGGTGTGGCTTCTGGGCTGGGGTGGCATCCTGTCTGTACATACGGCCCTCTCTTCTGGGCCTGGTACCTAGGCACCTGCAGTGCATGCCAGCCTGGCCTTTTCAAAGAGGACAGCACTTGTCAGGGGAATCTCACAAGGCAGCCCAGTCTAGAATCCACCCTATAAGGAGATGGTCCCTTTATAGCATGGTGCCTCAGTTTCCCTAGCTATAAAACTGGCCAAATTCCAGGACCCCCTTCTTGGGGGCATGGTGAGGATGGAGGAGAAAATTTGGGGGAAGGATAGAGCCTGGCATATAGTAGATGTTCACTAAATGCCAGCTTGTGGGAGGGGGAGATGTGGGGGAGGGTCTAGCAAGTGGTAACCCCGGAGGTGAGACTCCAGGCAGCCTCGTCATGTATGTGTCACTGGCATCAAGGTCCTTGCTCTTGAACATGATGCCAGAGGACACTGCCCTATCCAAGGGCAGAATGCAAGGGTATCAGGGCAATGAGTCTGCTCCTTGGTAGCCTGGTGGGGAAACTGAGGTTGACCTGAGATCACACAAGGCCAGGCTGAGCACATCTCACAAGGCCCCACAGAATCAATTCTAGGACCTTAGAGCTGAATGCTCGGTTGCCACACTGGTCGTGGAATCTCTTTGGAGATCACAGACCTCCTTCCGCCCAGGCAGGAGGGAGCTGGGTAGGGGTGTCCCTGTAGCCCCAGCCATTGTCCTAATGTCCCCCACACTGAGGTGTGTTCAGGCTTTTGGATAGCTCTAGGGGAGGAAATGGAGGCTCAGTAGGGTGACATTAACTTGTCCAAGAGCCTGAAGGTCAGGAGGAGTCAAGCCTGGATTGGAATCATCTCCCGACCACACACTTACGCGGCCTCCAGCCCTCCCAGGCAAACCTGCTGGCGAATTCCATTCCCAGACACTCAGAAGTCTTTACTGAGTGTCTGCTGTGTGCTAGGCATTGTTCTAGGTACCCGGAGACAGAAAATCAGTGGGCATAGTTTTGGTAAGAGGCCACAGCAGATGCAAGGACCCCAGGCAAGACCAGGCTTGTCACGATCTGGTGATGGGGATGCTTATGGGGCTGGAAGGGAATGACTCTGGGGAGAGGGAGAAGGTTGAGGTGGGTAGGAGCCAGACCACAGAGGACCTTCTGGCCACAGGGAGAATTTTGGTTTTCATGCAACGGCACTGGGGAGCCTTGGGAGGTTTTTTGAGCAGAGGAGGATTGTAGGCTGACTTGGGATGGCCATCCCACATGTCAGCCTTTCTGGGTTCATGGCTTCCTGAGCCTCAAAATGTTCTGGGGTGGTGGCAGTGGTCCCTGGCCCTCTGGTCCGTTGGCCAGGCCCTGCCATGACTGTGTCCCTTATGCCCCCTCAGGTCAGCGCGGGCACCCAGTCTCTGAGCCATGCTGGGCCCCGGGCGGCCTACAGCGAGCCCAACCCCGGCGCCCACATAGTCATGAACAGCCACAGCCACAGCCACAATGGCTGCGGGGGGGCGGCCGCTGGGCAGTGGGCTGGGTGCCCAGGGCAGAGATCCTTCGGAGCCCGAGGCTGGCCACCCCCCCCCAGCCCCCACATGGCCCGAGCCTCCAGGTGGTGGTGGCCAAGAGCGAGCCAGCCCGGCCCTCACCCAGCAGTCCCCGGGGGCAGCCCCAGGACCAGGAAGAGGAGGAAGACGATGAAGAGGATGAGGCAGGCAGGAGGAGGGACTCAGGGAAGACCCCAAACGTGGGCCACCGCCTGGGCCACCGGCGGGCACTCTTTGAGAAGCGGAAGCGCCTCAGCGACTACGCCCTCATCTTCGGCATGTTCGGCATTGTTGTGATGGTGACCGAGACGGAGCTGTCCTGGGGGGTCTACACCAAGGTAGGCATAGCCCTTCCCCTCGGCATCCCAGGGAAGCCCCTTCTGGGCCTGCCTGGCTCCCCCATCACTCCCTGGGCACCGGTCAGGGACCACATTGGCCACAGGAGAAGCAGGTGGAGGGTGCTGGGAGGAGGGGGCCCCGGAGGCGGGGAATACTGGGCAGGCTGCCCAAGGGGAAGTTAGGTTTCAGCCCATTCCTTCTGCCCTGCACCAAGAGACCACACCCTGGCTTCAGGTGGGGGCGGGGGGCTGTCCCCCAGGCCGGGCCCAAGATAAGAGAGCCCCAGAGAAGGCCTTGGGCCCCAGAGCCCGGAAAGAGCTTCTCCTTCTGAGAGTGGTTGGGCTGGGTTATGAACCTGGCTCTGTGTCCCCTTGTGCCCCCCAAGGTTGTGTGAGGACCGAGAGAGATCGGCATACCAGCCTATAAACGATGAAACAGAGAAGGTGAAGGAGGCCAGGCCTTAGAGACCGTGACAGCCTGTGCCTACATGAGGCCAGGCCTCATAGATGGCCACACTCGAGGACTTTAGAAGGCCAGGCCTTATAAGCTCTGAAGTATAGGCCAGCCTTGCTGTCAACTCAGGCCTAAGGAGTAAAGACAGAAGCATGGCTTCCTGAATAAAGAGCCCAGGTGGGGGTCAGGAGGGACACCCACCCCCCAACATCCTTGTCCTCCTGCCCTCTGCTTTCCCTCTCTCTCTCTCTCTCTCTGCCCAGGAGTCCCTGTACTCATTTGCACTCAAATGCCTCATCAGCCTCTCTACCGTCATCCTGCTGGGCCTGGTCGTCCTGTACCACGCCCGGGAGATCCAGGTCAGTGCCCCGCTGGCCCGGGTGCTCCCCTCCCTGTGCCCTGCCCTTACCAAACCAGTCACCCAGGACCCCAACCCCCTAAAACATAAAAAGACCAATAGCCTCTTTCTAGAAAAAAGAAAACAGATCTCTGTGAAGACACACGCTTTAGATCACTCCAAATTTCTTTGGAATGCCTTGTTTTACTTTTCATAGATTATTGGCGGCAGGGAGTGGGGGGAGAACAGTGAGGGAGTAGGAGGAGGTGAGCTGGGGTCTGGCACTCTCAAGCACCTTCCCAGCCCTGGGGTCTTCTGGAGGTTTGGCAGCCTCGGAAACCAGTTTTTGTGACACCAGGCTTCTGTTCCTATTTGATCAGACCCCGCATTTGAAGGGTTATTAGATGTCAGAGAGTCTGTTCTCTTGTTTCGGGAGTTAATCGAAATCTCAGTGGGCCAGAGATCCCAGCTCAGGGCACGTTGGGCACCTGTGCCCACAGCAGGCAGAGGCCACCTGGGGCTGGCACGAGGGCCGGGGGATGCCAGAGGGTATCAGAGCTGGCTCCTGGGTCTGGCTGCTGGCCTCTGACCTCTGACCTCAAGCAGCCATGGTTTGGCGGGAGACAGGTAGAGGAAAATCCTGCCTGGATTGCACCACCCACAGACAGCACTGGAGACACACAGGGTCTGGCATGTGGTGAGGGCCAGTGGAGGGGACAGGGATCCGCGAGTTGGAAGGAAGCAGTTCTAAAGGCACAGCAGCTGGGGACGACAGTCAGTTCCGATACAGTGAAACACGGAGGTACCATGCGACTCAGAGATTCCATGACATCGAAGAGACATGAAAACCTACATCCACACAGAAGTTGTACACCTGTGTACCACTATTCACAGTAACCAAACACTGGACACAACCCAAAACTGGTGGATGGACACATAAAATGTCTTATGGGCATACAACGGAGTAAGATTCAACCATTCGGAAATGAAGCCCGCGGGTCCTGGCTCAGTCGGTTAAGCATCTGACTCTTGGTTTTTGGCTCAGGTCATGATCTCAGGGTCATGAGATCAAGCCCGTGCTGGGCTCTGTGCTCAGCTCAGTGCTGAGTCTGCTTGAGCATCTTTCCCCCTCCGTCTCCCTCTGCCCTCCCCTTGCTCGTGGGTGTGCGCATGCACGCTCTCTCTCTTGCTCTTAAATAAACAAAATCTTTAAAACAAAAACAAAAACAGAAGCACTGTGTGAGTGTGCTCGGGCTACCACAACAAAGCCCCCTTTAGGAACGGGAATGTCTATCCTATGCCTTCTCCCTGTGAACTCATGGCTTTCTCCGTGTGTGCGCATCCATGGTTGTGGCCCTTGTCTTATGAGGACACCTGTCCTGTAGGATCAGGGCCCCTCCCAGATGACCTCTTTGAAGCCCCTCTCTCCAAATACAGTCACAATGGGACTTAGGGCTTTCACTTATGAATTTTGAGGGGACTTGAGTCAGTCTAGAACACTCCGCCAGCGGGGCCATCCCTCCAGTTCCTGTCCCCCTCCCAAGCAGAGTCCATTTACCGCATCCCAACAGCCTGCAGAGTCTTACTCCATCCCAGCAGCAACTCCAGGTCCCAAGCCTCACTGAGGTATCAGTTACGGGTACGACTGAGGCACACTTCTTCTCCAGCCGAGAGCCAGACAAGTCACTGTCTCCCCCAATATGGGGCTGGGGCAGGCATAGGGTAGACTTTCCCATTCCCAAAGAGAGAAAGGTGAAAGAAGAAAAGGTGTCAGGTGCTCAGCAAGTCGAAGAGCTAGCAGGGTTACATTCCATCAGATTTGTTCGAGAATGATCCTCCTGAGCTCAGCGCTCCAGCTTCTGAGCCCGCTGGGTTGGCCTCGTTGCCCCTTCAGCTGTGGGGGGTGACCTCGTGTGATGGCCTTCTTCGATTCAGCATGTTTTCGAGGTTCTTCCACGTTGTAGCAAGTATCAGAGCTCTTCCCTGACACACACCTTTTTTTTTTTTTTTTAAGATTTTATACATTTATTTGAGAGAGAACAGGCAAGAGGGGAGGGTCAGAGGGAGAAGCAGACTCCCTGCTGAGCAGGGAGCCTGCCATGGGGCTTGATCCCAGGACAGCACATGAGCCAGCCCGGCGCTCCTACCCTTTAAAATATATATATATTGTATTTATTCATTTGAAAGTGAGAGTGGGGGGAGGGGCAGAGGGAGAGGAAGAGAGAGAGAATCTCAAGCACACCCACAGAGCTGGATGCAGGGCTCCATCTCACCACCCTGAGATCATGATCTGGACCAAAATCACAAGAGTCAGACCCTTAACCAACTGAGCCACCCAGGTATCCCCGGATGCCTGAATCATATTCCTTTGCACCAAAGGACCCCATTTTGGTAATGCACTCATTCATACACGGACCCTGGGACTTTTTCCACTTTGCACAATTGCTCACGTACCAGGATTTGTTCCAAGGCCTGTTTTCCTCTCTCTTGCCTCTGTCCCTAGGAGTGCGTGCGCTTGCTGGGTCATCAGTAACCCTGCGTTTTCTTTTTCGGGAACGCCTGTCCCACATTTAATTGGGATTGTGGCTAACGCCGCCAGCTAGGGAGTTTCGCACTCCAAGGGCAGTTTCTTGTAAAAGCCAAGCAGGGGGTGGGCCTGGGGGTGTGTGTGTCTCGGGCTGGGGTCTGGGGCTGGGGTCGGAGGGGGTGTCTGGAAGGGGCATGGGCAGAAGGCCGAGCCCCACCACCGCCCGCCCCGCCCGCCTCCCGCAGCTGTTCATGGTGGACAACGGGGCGGACGACTGGCGCATCGCCATGACGTGCGAGCGCGTCTTCCTCATCTCCCTGGAGCTGGCCGTGTGCGCCATCCACCCGGTGCCCGGCCACTACCGCTTCACGTGGACGGCGCGGCTGGCCTTCACGTATGCACCGTCGGCGGCCGAGGCCGACGTGGACGTGCTACTGTCCGTACCCATGTTCCTGCGCCTCTACCTGCTGGGCCGCGTCATGCTGCTGCACAGCAAGATATTCACAGACGCTTCCAGCCGCAGCATCGGCGCGCTCAACAAGATCACCTTCAACACACGCTTTGTCATGAAGACTCTCATGACAATCTGCCCGGGCACCGTGCTGCTCGTCTTCAGCATCTCCTCCTGGATCATCGCTGCCTGGACCGTGCGTGTCTGTGAGAGGTACGCCCCGCCCCCTCCAGCCCCAGCCCCGCCCACCGGGCCCACCCCGGCCCCGCCCCACTTCCTGGCCCCAGAGACAATCCCTCAAGCGCAGGCCCCTCATCCCCTGGGACTTCAACCTGTCCCCCAACCCATACCCCTCTGGGACCCCTGCCCTCTCCCCCTGGGAGGGAGAGGGGTCTTGGGATCCACTTTCTCCCCCCTCCTCCACAGCGAGCAGCCAACCTCCGGCCTCCTGCCCGGGGCCGGTGGAGGCAGCCGGAGCCAGATGGCCCCATTTCTGCCTGTTCCCCCCCCAACCACCATCACCAATTTAACCTGCTCTCCTTCTCCCCTCTGCCCGCCCCACCGGACTGTAGGGAAAACATGTGAGTCCTACCTTTGACCGAGCTGTGTGCACAGAGCTGCTGCCGTCTGCCCGCCAGGAATTTAAGATTAGCTGCCGCACGGGGAGGGCATAGGGAGGTGAGGCGGGGTGGCTGTGACCAGCCCAGAGTCCCAGTGGGGCCCCGGGCAGGCAAGTCTGGAGCAGGGCCAAGGACAGCGGGAGGCAGGCTGCTCTCCGGCTGCGTCCCCTGGGCATCCTGGAGGTCCTGTGTCCAAGGTTGGGGAGGGTTTTGTTTGGACAGCTGACCCTGGGGGACTGGGACAGCTTCCCCCCAAGAGTTGAGTGGGTCTGGGGTAAATAAAAACCGGCCCAGCCTTTAGCAACTCTCCCTGCCCAGGGTTTGTTCTGAACAACCCTGGAAGGTGTAGACCATCAACCCAGTTTCCAGATGAAGAAACGGAGGCTCTGGGGCAAAGGAACATTCCTGAGGCCTGACTCCTGGTTGGCTCTGGAGACCCGCAGGGTGCTTCAGGAAAGGGAGGTTCCCCCTGGGCTTCTCAGGGCACAGGGGCACCTTGCCTGGGAAGGAGACTCTTCTACCTCATGCCTTGCTGGGGAAGGCCCTGGAGGGTTCTATGGCACGTGGTGCTGGTACTGGGCTTCCCATGAGATCCCTGGGCTGGACCTGCCCCCCAGGACCTCAGCCTTCCCCCCCTTTAAGCCCTTCTCCATGGCCTCTGCCTCAGCCTGTTGTGGGGCTCATGTCGGTGAGGGCCCTGGCCTTGTTGTCATTGGGGCCTACCACCTCAAGACCTGTCAAGGTCTCCTTGGACTCTCAATGTACTGCCAGGCCGGTACCCACAAACCATACCCCACGCTGTCAGGAGTGTGGTCTGGGGAGTGAGGGGCACCCCTCCTCAGGCACCCTCAAGGTGCTGTCTGGATCATTGTAGGGCTCCCTGGGTTGGGGCAGGGAACGGGGCAGGACTGGGGGGGCAGCCAATCCTAAATTCTGAGCCCTATGATGCTACTCGAAGCCCCCTCCCCTGCCTCGCTCCGCCCCTGTGGCTCTGTCCCACCCCCCACCCCACCCCTTGCCTCCCGCATGCCCCCCACTTCCTGGTCCTAAGTAGTCCTGGGGCATCCCGCAGTCCCCATCACAGCTCCAGCCAGGCCCAGGGCTCCCCCGCCCACCACTGGAGGGCCTCCCTCTCCTCTTGTCCCCTGGGTGTGGGGTGCTGGTTGACCGAGAGGTGGAGGCCAGGGTAACTTGGGGCTTAGGTACCTCAGTGAAAGATGGGATTCAGCCCCAGGTCCCCCTCAGCCAGCAAGAAGACTGGCAGCCCAGGCAGGGGGGCCCAGAGTGGCATTCGGTCCCCAGGGTTGGGCAGGGAGTCCCAAACATCAGTCCTGCTGGGAAGTTCTCCATCCCTCCCATCCCCGTTTGGGGCCTCTGTCACCTCCCCATCTCCAGCCCCTGGCTCCAGCCCCTGCCCCCAGCTTCCCCTGTCCTACCCCTGCCCACAGAAGAGGGCCCACCCCCCTCTGTGTCACCTTAGTTGACCTCTGACCTTGAACACCCCCCCCTCAGGGCCTGAAGTCTGGGAAGGAGTGGGTCACCTGGAAAGGGTCCTAGGTGGAAGGGCTCTGCAGGCTGGGCGCTGGGCTAGAGCAGAACCCTTGACCAACCCCGCAGACCCCCAGCCTAGGCTGACCGTGGGTAGAACTTGTTTATAGCCCACAGGACCAGGATCACCGCTTTAGCTCTGACCAGGGACAAAACCATGTCCCTTGCCCCCCCCCCCAACCATGGTCCTCTTCCCAACATGGGGCCTTGCTGGCTGGGGAAGTTCTTCCCGGTGTCTGACCTGAATCCTCGCCTCCACTCCCTGCTGCTTCTGGTGCCCGTGGCCACCTGTGTCTGCGTCTGTCTGTGTGTCTGTCTTTGGGACGGGGATTGTGTGCACAGTGTGGACACAAGTGGACACGTGCGGACGTACTCTCCCTTGGCCCACTCTGCCCCATAACTGGGGCTGGGGAGGGCACACATCCTGGACAGTAGCTCTGGGGGTGGGGGTTGGAAGGGAGGCTGGGAGGAGAGTGTGGGTGCCCTCTGCCCCATGGGACCCTCAGGAAGCTGATAAACACCCCCCTCCCTGCTCGAAGTGGCACCTTTATTTCTTTGAGCCTCAAAGCGATCAGCTTCTTGCAGTCAAGGTCCCCACACAGCTGGGAGGACCCAGGGCTCTGGTGTTCCGGTGCTGCCTGCCCCACGGGTATGATGACAGCAGAGACACCAGTGTAGACTGACTGGGCCTTCCTGGCTCCCCACAGGTACCATGACAAGCAGGAAGTGACCAGCAACTTTCTGGGGGCCATGTGGCTCATCTCCATCACCTTCCTCTCCATCGGCTATGGTGACATGGTGCCCCACACCTACTGCGGGAAGGGCGTGTGCCTGCTCACTGGCATCATGGTAAGGGTGAGGGCCCTTGCATGCCCCCTGCCAGTGGGGAGCTCACCCCATTGCCAACAATAATGCATCAGAGTTCCTTCTTGTGTCATCCTAACCCATTCACCTTCTTCCTCCTTACCTCTGCCACCACTCAGAATCTGCACCCTTGGGCCTCCTGGGGGCATCTCTTCTTGGCTCCTTCCAGCCCTGGCTCTGTAGCTCCTGTGGTGCACACAGCGCTAGATGCTGTGGTCTACTGAGAACAGAGTTTTCTTTGCCCTTTATTCTCTGCATCCTGCTTAAATCACAGCCCTTGGGTCCAGGGCTAGGAGCTTGATGCTTCCATGCCTCAGTTTCCCCAGTTGTAACAGTGCCTACCTCCGCTCACTATAAGGTTCAAGTCTGTTCCTTTACATGAAATGCCTAGAAACATGAATAGTGTGGACATCCAGTCAACACCCTCCAATTCCCTATCCTTGCCTGACTATTCGGGTATCCCAAGCACCCCACTGAACCCCAGTGGTGTGAAGTTTTTCTCCTGTGACCCAGTGCACCCTGGCAGTTCCCCATCTCCCCCAAAGACTTCTCAAGGCCATCCAGGGGTGTGGGCAGCCTTTGACATCCGGCACCTTCTTTCCCTGACTCCATCATCAGTCTTCCTGCTCATCTCTTCCTTCTGGAACCTTTTTCTCCAAACTTCTACCTCCTTCACAAATGCTTTTCCATGTTTTGAATTATGACTTGTTGGATGCACAGTCCTCTACTCCTCTCCCCGCAGTCAATAACAGGTTCATTGGTGACAACCAGTGAACACCAGCAGGCCAGAGACGCTAATCTGGTCCCACCCCCAGCTTCCATCACAGGCCAGTCCTTGGAGTCTCTCCTTCCTTATCTCTGCACGCAGAGATGCATTTGTTCTTGCGAAAACAAGACGCCATCCCCACAACAGTGTCCTTCCTCCTGCAGATGGGGGGGGGTGCTGTCTTGCAATGCCTCTGCCCATCCCATTTCATGGCTTGTAGACTGCCCAGTTATCCCTGTCTCCTGAGGCCCGTGGCTCTGTCCTCTCTTCACCCCTCATCCCCTCTACGCTGTTTGGGCAAAAGCTGGGGGTCCATACCCTCTTCCTGCCCTCCTACAGGAGCCTCCCTTCTGGCCAAGCTGATATGGCCTTTCTCTTGTGAAATGGCTTCACGCGATTTGCTTAGGTTATTTTACAAGAGCGGGGAGGGGAAAAGACTAAAGCCCGGCTGCAGTCCAACCCCCGACAACAAGCAAATGAACTTTGCAAATGAACAAAGATAAGTAGTCAGGTAATGTGAGGTCAAACCCAAAAGCCCAAGACAAAACGGAAAAGCTGAGTTCCATTCTCTGGGACCTGGCTCCTGCCAGAACATGAGTTCCGTGTGTGGCCCGAAGCTTGCTCCCTGCCCTTGCGCCTGGCGCACACACGAACCATCGTGCTGGGGTCGGTCCCAAGCTTGCTTTCTTTGAGGGAGAGGGAGAGCACAAGCAGGGAGGAGAGCAGAGGGAAAGGGTCGAGCGTGGAGCCCAACACGGGGCTCACTCCCAGGACCCCACTGCAGGTTTCCAGCACGTTTCTTTGCCCCCGTGGGCAGGGCTTTTTCCAAGATGGGACTCCAGGAACCCGTGGCAGGGTTTTCTCACAGGGTGACCTTGTGCCCATCCTGCCCAGGCTGGGCATATGGCCATCCGGACCTGCCCAGGACCATGCAGTGGTGTTCCTGGCCCTTGTCCTCCCCCTCCCCATAGGTGTTTCCTTCCATCCAGAAGAAAAACTGAACTACAGCCCAGACCTCTTAGGCTCCCCACCGCTCCCCCAAGTCCCAAGGGCTGAGCTCAGACTCTCCTTCCTTCCTTCTTAGAGGCAGCAGCCTCAGGAGGAAGCAGCTGGCAGGTAAGGCACCAGGAACTTCTCTTTAGTGCAGATGGGGACCACCAGCCCTTGCCTGCTCCTGCCACCTGCCTTGGGCACTTCTGGGGCTGATGACCCCCTCCTGGGTGTCCTAGGCTCTGCGGCTCCCACTCCTGGGTGGCAGACCCTTCCCCTCCCTCCCATGTTAACTTCGTGCAGCCTCCCTCCCCCTGTCAGCCCTCTCCTTTCTCTTGGGACCGCTCTGACCTCTTCCACTAGCCACGAGTCTGGCTGCCATTTAGGGCATCCTGGGGAATGTGGTTGCATCAAGCCGAGAGTCTGCCACTGGTGAGGCAGCCCCCCCCCGTTCCCCATCTCCCGGGGCCCCCCCTTTGCTTCTTCCTACCTGCAGATGCCCCCCCCCTTTCCTCACACTGCCTTCGCACCCTGCCAGCTGACCCCTCCCATGAGTGTAGAAAGACCTATCCTCTGGGCCTCTGTTCCCAGCACCCAGACCCCAAAGCCTTGATGGAAATGCTTCCAAATCCTCCCGCCTCCATGGTCACCAGTGCTGAATTCACCTGCAGATCCTCCCTTTCCATCTCCCTTTCTTATCTCTGAGCCTCAGTTTCCCCCTCTGCCCCGTGGGGATAAGAGTGGTCTTACCTCCCAGGGCCTTTGGAAATCAAATAAGACATTCAACTGATATTAAGCCGGTGGGACTCGGAATCAGGGACCTCAGCAGGTGGGATCTGCCCACACTGTGGGCTTGGAGGGGAAAGGTGAGGTAGGAATCAGGGCAGGCTTTCTGGAGGAGGGAGGGTGTGGCCTGGGACCTACGTGAGGCAGGACACTGATGTGTTCCCCACCCTCCACATGCAGGGGGCTGGCTGCACAGCGCTCGTGGTGGCTGTGGTGGCCCGGAAACTGGAGCTCACCAAGGCAGAGAAACACGTGCACAACTTCATGATGGACACTCAGCTCACCAAGCGGGTAAAGACGTCCATTGCAGCCACTTCCTCTCCCAGTTATCAAGGGCAGGCCCTCTCTGCCTTACCTCTGTACACAGCGGGCATGTCCACGTGCCCACAGGCCACTGCAGTGCCTTGTGCTCTGCTGCCCGTGCAAATGTTCATGAGCCGCGCACGGAGATATGGCAGTGGCCCTGGGTGTCCACCTGTGTGCCCAGGCCTCGCCCCACCCTGAAACACAAGCAAGAGGCAAGCCTTTTGGGGCCAGGGCAGCTAGAAACCATCTATAAGCTGTCAGACTTTGGCAGGTCAGCACTCTGTGCCTCAGTTTCCCCATGTATAAAGAGATGCCAGCACGTGCAGATTCATTGATTTAACATTTGAAAGGTGTATAGAACAGGTCTGGCCCATGCCAAATGTTATAAATGTGCACACACACACACCCCCCCACAGAGCGCAGATGTGGATGCATAAATATGGCCTCACCTTACACGCCCAGGACCCCAGAGGGGCATTTCTAGGAATTTCTAAGAGTTTCTGGCAGCTTCTGGAAGTTCCCAGAACCTTCTACAATTTTGTGCCTACCTTGAGGAACTGTTCTTTCTCTGGCCCCAGGTAAAAAATGCCGCTGCTAATGTTCTCAGGGAGACGTGGCTCATCTACAAACACACCAGGCTGGTGAAGAAGCCAGACCAAGCCCGGGTTCGGAAACACCAGCGTAAGTTCCTCCAAGCCATCCATCAGTAAGTCCAGCACCTTTCCCGCTCACGTTTCTGTGTCCACCTGGTGCAGAGGCAGCTGTGGTCCTTGGGAGGAGGCTGTGGGCCAGGCCAGACAGCTAGCATGGCCTTGTCATGGACCCTCCCATTCCGGGTGGTCAGTTGGCTGGGGTTTGAAGCCTTTGTGCTGGTGGGATGGTGGATGGTCAGAAGGAGGCAGTGATGGGCCCACCACTTGTCTAGGGTGATCACCTTGGATAAGTCAGGCAACCCAGGGACGCCTGGCTGGCTCAGTTGATCAAGCATCTGCCTTCAGCTCAGGTCATGATCTCAGGGTCCTGGGGTCAAGCTCCACATCGGCCTCCCTGTTCAGTGGGGAGTCTGCTTGTCCCTCTGCCCTTCCCCCAATTGTGCACATTCTCTCTCTCTCAAATAAAATATTAAAAAAAGAAAAGTCAGTCAACCCACCCAACATAAATGGCAAATTTATTCTCCAGAAGAGCCAAAATTATTTTACCTTTTAGATATTAAGCAATTTCCCTTTTTTGCTCTGGCTGCCAGGAAGCTCAGAATTAACTTTGTGTCCTGATCCATGTGCTCATGTGGGTTAATTAGAAATTATTTGATTTTCTCTGTTGTCCCTTTGTATTGAGAATTATTTATTCAAGTAGTTCTCATCCTTGGCTGCTCACACCCACAGGGCTTTAAAAATCCTACAGGCAAAAAAAATAAATAAATAAAATAAAATAAAATAAAAATAAAAATCCTATAGGCTGCACCCAACGCCAGTTACAGTGGAGTCTGGGAGGTACCCTAGGCTTAAGTTTAAGTTCCTCCAGTGAGTCCAGTGTACAGCTGGAGTTGGCAAACGTTACCTGTAGGGCCAGAGAGTAAATATTTGGGGCCCTGTGGACCAGACAGTCTGTCACAACTACTCTACTCTCTGTTGTAGCAGGAATGCAGTAAAGAGGAATGGGTGGGCCATGATCTAATAAAACTTTATTTTTCCCAAACAGGCAGCTGGCCAGATTTGGCCTGGGCCAGGCTCTAATATGCCAATCATTGTCTGCTAGAACTATCATGTAAACCACTGTGTAATTTTAAGTTTCCTAGTAGCCACATTAAAAAAAAGTAAAAGAAAACAAGTGACATAAATTCTAATATATTCATTTAATATATGCAACATTATTTTAATATGATTAATGTTAAACTCATTAATGAGCTATTTTAGAAAGCTTTTGACACTAAATCTTTGAAGTCTAGTGTGTATTGTACATTTATAGTCCATTTTTATTCTGACCAGCCACATTTCAAGTGCTTAGTAGCCACATATAGGATGTATATAGGGTGCCTGAGTAGTTCAGTCAGTTAAGCGTCTGCCTTTGGCTCAGGTCACAATCCCAGGGTTGGTCCTGGGATCAAGTCCCTCACTGGGCTCCTTGGTCATCAGGGAGCCTCCTTTTCTCCCTTTGCCTGCTGCTCCCTCTGCTTGTGTGCGCTCTCGCTCCCTCTCTCTCTGACAAATAATTAAATCTTTAAAAAAAAAAAGGTTTGATCAGTGTATATACCCATGAAATAATTGCCACAGTCAAGATAAAAAGCAGGTCCATTGCCCCCCAAAATTTCCTGGGGCTTTTAACTGTCTTTTAGCTGCAAAGTTTAGTCCATTTACATTTGTTGTGTTTACTGTTATAACTGGATTGGTTTTGAATGATAACGGTCTCTACTTCACAAGACTGCAGGGAAATCTAAATGGGATGATAGGCAGGAATGCCTGGCATAGTCCCTGGGGACATGGTGGCCACGCCCCCCCACCCCTTTGTCTGCTCCCACCATCATCTAAAAAGTGGGGAGAGGAGCTGGTCCCACATTTACTCAACCTCACTGTGTCCAGGTCTCAATCTGACCTCCTCACAAGACCCCAAGGCCCTTGAGGACAGAGACCCCTCCTTGTTGACCCTCCTACAGGTATTCACCAACAACTGGGGCCCCGTCTGCTATCTGCCACCTAACTGTGGGGACCTGGGCAAGTGACTGTGTTATTCCAAGCTTCATTCTCTTATCTCTAAAGTGGAGGCAGTGGTAATTAATGTGTCTTTCCTCCAGTGATAACATATAGTTCAAACACAGCTGGGGACTCAACCATGCCTACCTGCCATACAGTATTTTCTAAACATGGGAGCTAGCATTGATACCGCCCTCGATACGTTCATTTGCTTATCATACCAGCATTTCCTATGCCAGCTGGTGTGCCAGGCATGGGGGACACAGACATGGCTCTGCCCTGGGCTTTGTCCCAAGGAATGTTCCAGAAGGTTGTTGGAGGAAAGTGGGAGGATGGGAATTAAAGAGATCCAGGTCTGGGGAAAAAGGCACCTGCTCTATGAGTTACCTGTGTCCCTTTGTTCTAGGGCGGGACTATCCCACTCTTATTTATAGATTTATCTATCTATCCATCTATTTATTTTAAGGGTTTTTTTTTTATTTTTAAGATTTTATTTATTTATTCTTCAGAGAAAGAGAGCACAAGCAGGCAGAGCGGCAGGCAGAGGCAGAGGGAGAAGTGGGCTACCCGCTGAGTAAGGAGCCGGATGCGGTACTCGATCCCAGGACCCTGGGATCATGACCTGATCCAAAGGCAGGCCCTTAACCAACCAAGCCTCCCAGGTGCCCCAAAACAACAGAATTTATAACCTCATGGTTCTAGAGGCCAGAAGTCCAAAACCAAAGCGTTGGCAAGGCTGGTTTCCTTCTGAAGGCACTAGGGGAAGATCTGTCCCAGGCCTCTTTCCTAGCTTCTGATAGCCTTAGGGGGCCCTTGGCTTCTGGATATATCACTCCAGTCCCCCGCCTTCACATGGCCTTCCCCCTGTGTCTTCCCATCGTCCTCCCTCTGTGCATGTCTGTGTCCAAATTTCCCCCTCTTTACAAGGACACCAGTCATGTTGCTTTGGGGTCCACCCCAAGACCTCATTTTAACTTGGTTAGATCTAGAAAGACGCTGTTTCCAAATAAGGTCACATTCTGAGGTGCTGGGGGCGTAGAACTTCAGTATATCTTTTTCAGTTGGCCTGGGGGACACTGTTTCAACACATAACATGGAGGTTGCAAAGAGATCAAGACTGACTTCCCTGGAAAAGGCACCCCGGAGCTCGGCAGACGTCGACTTCCACTCGGGGCAGCCTCAGACCTCCAGGGCTGGGGGTGTTTGTACCCACCGCATTTCTCCAGACCGAGGGCTGGGTCCTATCAGGGATCCTGGTACCCAGCATAGGTGGGCCCTGAGGGCCTCCCCAAGCATCTGTTATATGTGGGCATGCAGGGATTCGAGCTTGGACTGGTGAGGAGGAGCCTTACCTGGAACAGCTTCCCTGGGCTGGTTTCACTACACCAGGGATGGAGATGAGGGTCCAGGATACTGTGTGGCCACCTCCCCACCCCCTTTCCTGTGGGCAGCTGTTTGGGAGGCCAAGGCGCAGTGGCCCACTGGCAGATACAGGTTCAGATCCTGCTGGAGGGCCAGTGGGCACTGGCTTTGCCTCTCTGAGTCTTGTCACCCGCCTTGGGAAACAGCACGGCCAGAGTTCTCTGGACTAAATGCGCCCCTGTGGGGCCAGGTTTCTGGCACAGACTAGGATACAGCAGGACCACAGGCTGCAAACAGCTGCATTTGCTGGGGGGCCCTGCTGGAGGGAGGGGCAGAGAAGAGATGCATCCCTAAGGGGCTGGCATGGCCCCCGCAGCCACACGGGGCCCCCCTCCTGGTCCTGGGGTTGTAAGGGGGGGGAGGTGGGCAGGGCTGGGCACAAGCCAACCCAGCGGCATGGAGATTAAAATTGCCTTGTGATTTCTCTCTGCTCTGCCGGGTCCTGCCAGAGCTCAGAAGTAAGTCTCTTCCTGGGGGTGGTGGTGGTGGTGTATGGTGGGCACGGGGCAGGGGCACAGGCCCAGGGCAGCTTGTGGAGTGCTACCACCCCTTGGCCTCAGGCGGTAGCCCGGGCTTGTAGCCACCCTGCAGACCCGGTGCAGCCTTCACCTAGGCCAGGGGTGGGGGTGGGGGGGAGGGTCCAGGTTCCCCAGGACATCCTGACTGAGCCCGAGGAGACATGGCCAGAAAGGGGGACACTGCGGGAGGTGGCTTAGCCATCCCCCAGGCCCTGCCACCCGATGTATGCTGGGAGGGAACCAGCAGCATGGGGCCCGATGCTAACTCCCACCCCATCCCCCCCTGCATGGCTCACAAGGCGACCCCAGGTGGGGTGGGTGCATGAAGGATCCCACTGCCCCCTGCAGCCTCCGCCCACAACCCCACCCACCCACCTGTCCCCCAGGCTCCGGAGCGTGAAGATTGAGCAGGGGAAGCTGAATGACCAGGCCAACACTCTCGCGGACCTGGCCAAGGTGAGCAGGGCAGGGGCGGGGGGGGGCAGCTCCTCAGGCCCACAGGAGGCTGCTCAGGCCCCCATGGGAGGAAAGGGAGGCGTTCCAGAAAGAACTGAACCCACCTCCTGCCAGGGGAGGAATTGTGGTGGCGCCTGGAGGACAGACAGCTGATGCAGGCCAGGGGTGCAAGCGAGGCAGACAGGGACCAGCCCCAACTCTGCAGCTCTTTTATTTTTTTAAAAAACAGTATCTCATAAAATAGCTTCCATCAGAGTATCTCATTAGTGGGCTAAACTGGGGATGTGCCCTTTTGTTTTAGGCAGATCTACATACAGCCTCCAAAACTGAAGAGAAAAACAAATTTCTTTCGCTATGGATATAAATTCAGATTCTAGAATCAGCAGAAAGCTCATTTGTGCAGCAATTCAGCCTCCCTCAGGAGATTAAAGTTGGTGGCCAGAGCTCTCTAAGACCCGTTTGTGTTACAAACGAATCTCTCTGCTGGTTTTATTATCAAGCCCAACTCCATTTCCCACTTTTTATTCATCCTCCAGAAGATGGGACGGTTGACCCAACTTCTGTCAGGCAAGCTCTTAGCGTACCCGCCCCACTGTCCTAAACTCCCTTCTGAGCAGTGGCCTACCTTCCACGAGTGGTTCACGCGTGAACTCTGCTCACTGGCTCCCTCCCCCTTAATCAGCTAATTAGGCTGAGGTTCATTTAATATTATCTCTGGGAAGATGTTAAGTCCTATTCTCCTTCTTATACCCAGAGCGTTTTGGACTCATTCTCTTCATCATTATCAAGAGAAATGCAGTATAATATTAACCTACATAAATTTAATTTGGAAAGAAACATTATAGGGGGGGGGACCCATATTGTGGATCCCTGAAGAAATCACTCAGTTGGTAGTAGAAAGAACATAATCCTGAGTCAGACAGAAACCCTCGCCAAACTAGTTTGATGCCATATGAGATTAGAGCTGGAAACACATAGGAAATGCCTTTGAATAACTCAGGTACCAGTTATTATCATTTGGATTATTCATATCGCTCTTTCTTCCATTAGTACAGATGATTGAAGTTCGAATTTTTCAAAGTTATTTAAACCTTGCTATCACGGCAGTATGCCCCTCTCAGAGTACATTTAACAAAGCCTGCTTTGAAGTAAGGCTTTAATTGGATAGGATGGTATGGGTTCCTAATGTTTAAAATTTAACAAGGTTAAAATGTCGTCCAGTATTAAAACTTTAATGCGCTCCTATCCAAGACTGCTGATTTAATTTGTGTATCCCCGACCAAAGTACAAGGTGTCTTCTAAGTTTTGAAGAATTGAAACCTCAGAGAAGCCCCCCAAAAATCATCAGAGGCTGGACGCCTCTAGATGTTACCCTGTGGCCCTGGGGACTGTGGAAGAGGGGGCCCAAAGGGTGTGTTCGCCCTGGGGCTGGGGTGCGTGGGCCAGTAACAAAACATGGTGGGGTCACCACTGAGGCTTGGGCACGGAGGCTGGGAGGGAGAGGCTGGGGTGGAAAGCAGCAAGATGCTGGTAGCTGCCTCATCCTGTCCCCCTCCCGTGGAGCGAGGTCAGGAGGGGGCCTCCTTCCCCACCTCAGCACCTCTCCTCCCATCTCAGGCCAGGGGGTGGTCAGCCGCTGTTGGCCTGGGGGTCTGGTCAACCCAGAGGGGAGGGCAGAGAGGAGGAACGATGTTGTATCGCCACCTGGTGGCAAGAGTGGCACTGCACCCAGGTCTGTCTGAGCCGCCAGCCTTCCCTTCCTTTCCCGGGGCCCATCTGGACAGTGGCAGAACTGGCTCCTGCTTGCTGGGTTGCGGGGAGCAGTCGAGGTGCTGGAGGTATCCCATTCCCTGCTGCGATGGTTATCGTCGTAGCTGCTCTGCCCCCCAGTCTGTGATTGGGTCAGAGCCTTGGAATCTGGTCCAGGAAGTCATGGCTGCCAACCCACTCCATACCCCCGTCCCATGGCTGACCCTTGTCCCCTCCTCAGCCTACTGTGGAGTGCAGGGGGGACAGTTCTCAACTGAACCTCCTCCTTCTCAACCACATCTCCAGCCTGGAGTAGTGTCAGCCCAGAACCTGCCACCACCACCACCACCACTGTCCCCACAGTTCTGCAGGCCATGGTTCCCCCTGCGTGAAGGCAGCCCCAAGAGCACTCTTGGGCTTCATGTGCCTGGTGGCCAGTCCATCCCCTCAGGGCGGCTCTGGCCACATCCACCCCAGGACTTCCTCCAACCTTCCTCAGGCCTGCTGGTCCCCCACATTCGAGACCTGTCTCTCCTCTTGCCTCTTCTCCTCCCATTCCCTGGGGTACAGCAACGGGGGTACAGCAGGAGACCTGTGGGGTCAGGGTGCCCTCACAGTCATCTCCCACTTGGGTCCCTCTTAGTGGGCTCCCACCTTACTGGCGCTGGTCTCCTGTCTCTCTCTGCGTCTGTCCCTCCCCCCCCCTCACTTGGCTTCTCCTTTCTCTCCTGCTCTGTCTCTGGCAGACCCAGAATGTCCTGTACGACCTCATGTCCGAGCTGCACGCCCAGCACGAGGAGCTCGAGGCCCGCCTGGCCGCCCTCGAAAGCCGCCTGGATGCGCTGGGCGCCTCCCTGCAGGCCCTGCCTGGCCTCATCGCCCAAGCCATACGCCCGCCCCCACCACCCCTGCCGCCCCGGCCTGGCCCCGGACCCCTGGACCAGGCAGCCCGGAGCCCCCCATGCCAGTGGCCACCTGTGGCCCCTTCAGACTGCGGGTGACTAACCCTGCCCACCACCAGACCCCTCAATCTTGGCCATCGTGTGGCCGCCACCTCCACGCCATCCGGGAAGCCCTGTACAGTGGCGCCTCTTGGAGTTCAAGGAGCCGAAGCTGAGTTGGGCTGAGTGGACCAGGGCTCTCCCCACCCAGACTGTCTGGGCAGAAGACAGGGCCGGACCGCAGGCAAGGGCAGGGGTGGACCACCGCCCGCTTCCTCCCTGATTGGAGCCGGGGCGGGGGACAGCCAGGAGCTTCCTTTTGGTCCCCTGGCCCCCCAACTCTCCCTAGGCCGCCGGTGGGCATGGAGCAACCAGGAGAGGGGTCCTTGCCGGTTCTGAATAAAGCAGGACCCACGCAGCTGCTGCCTGGTTTTGCATGGCTATGGGACACTGGTCATCACAGCATGGGAGGTGGCCGCTCAACTCCAGGTCCCAGAACGGATGTGGGGATCCAGCCGAGCCGGTCCCATCCCTGTTCTAGCCCGGTAGCCGTCCTAAGCCCGAGCTCAGTTGGGTACACCTCCTGAGGACATCAACATCAGTCCCCGCTGGCAGTGACGGCCCCGGCCGGCAGGAGGCAGCAGATCGGGGAGACCTCCTCCCCATCCCAGCAGCCAACTTTGCCAGAGCACCTGGTGTGCGCCAAGCTCCAGTGGGACCATGGTCCAGTGGGGAAGGTGACATGAGTGAGGAGGACCATTCAGTCTTCGCTGGATGTATGTTGAACATTTGCCCGATACAGGGGACATAGTGTAAATTGCCATACTTCACCAGAACCTAACCAGGGGAGGATGGGGAAACTGGGGGTTGGAGAAGTAAAGCCACCTGCCCGGGGCTCCAGAAAGGGGCAGGAATTGGGGGAGAGGCAGGGCAGGATTCAAATTCCAGCCAAAGTGAAGAACCTGGGACATGGGGGGAGGGTATAGTGTGATTCAGGGGTTAGAGTGGCCACAGGGCAGGCTTCTAGACACTAGTAGAATCAGAGGGGAAGGTTCTAGACACTAGTAGAATCAAAAAGGTCCCTCCAGGCCTCGGGCTCAGTGTGCTGGGGTGAGGCAGGGATGCCAGGTGCTTGGCAGCCGCAGGGCTCCAGGCATAATAGAGAGATAGAAGCCTGGCTCCTGGGGAGGCTAGTCTGAGAGCCTCGGGCCCTGGCGGCCTCTGATATACAGCCATCAACCACCCAGCCTCAGGAGATAACCTGGGCTCAAGACCGAGAAGAGTGGGGAGGTGCCAGTGGGCTCCAGACCTGCGTGGGGAGTCCTGATTGCCACTGCTGGGTGCTTCTGGGCAGAGGCTGCCCCCTGTGAGGGCCTCGCTTTCCCCATCTGTAAGATCTGGCGAGGAGAACAGGGCACAGTGTCCACCTTCGGGGAGCACCTAGTCTGATGCAGGAGGAGGAACAAAAAACATATAGCGGTCACAAACACAGCGACCAGAGCCGTAGAGAAACAAGACCAGAGTATGATTAAGGGACTCTGAGGAAGTGACATTTGGGCATAGGGGTGGGGATGGGGAGATGGGAGAGCCGATGTGGGGAAGGGCGTTCCTAACGGGGTAACTGTCAGTGCAAACGCCAAGAGGCCAGGCCTGAGCTTGGTGTGTGTGGAGAACAGCCACGGAGACCAGAGTGGGAGGCTGGGGCGGTGCCGGGGTCAAAGGTGCCGGATGGGGGACACATGAAACCGCCAGATAGCCGGGTGGCTGCTCTCTCTGGACCAGCCACATCCGCGTCTGAGTCAACAGCGCCGACCCTACAAAAACGGCACGCCCCGCGCTGGGGGGCGGGGGGTTGGGGGGGTGGCAAAGTCAACAACACGGGCACGCGGGCGGCACGTCCCCGGCGGCCGGGGCGCGTCACGGGGGCGGACGTCCAGGACCAGGAAGTCGGCGGCAGACTCGCCGGCCGGGAGCCCTGGGCGCCGGCCCGAGTTCGCGGAGGCTAGAGGAGGCTCGGGGGCGCCCGGGGCGGCGGGGAAGGGCTCCGAGCCGCGGGGCCCGGGCCGGGCTCCCCGCCGCGGGCGCCTTCCCCGCGGTGCGCCCCGGCCTGCGCCATGCGCCCGGGGGGGCGTACGCAGCTTCGTGCTGGAGCTAGCCCGGGGCCCCGGCGGCGCGTACCGCGGCGGGGAGCGGCTGTGCGGCCGGGTACTGCTGGAGGCGGAGGCGCCGCTGCGGGTGAGAGCGCTCGAGGTGTCCGCACGCGGCGGGGCGACAACGCACTGGCTCGAGGGCCGAAGCGTGGGCGTCAACGCGGTGTCCAGCGACTACGCGGCTGCCGAGACGTACTTGCGGCGGCGGCAGCTGCTGCTCCGAGGTGAGCCGCTCGCTCCGCACTCCCCAACCGGGATCCCCCGGGGCCCCTCTCCCCAGTCTGGGCGCTCTTCTCCAGTGCCCGGAGAGTTTCGACTTAGAGGTTGTGTGGTCGGGTGACCCGTCTTAAGAAGTGGAGACCTCCTCCCCAGGGTCTGGACCCTCTGGCCAGGACACACCCACTTACCTCCTCCCCCAACCCTCTTTCTCAGGATCCCCTCTCAGGGTCTAAGCATCACCCCCCCTTTCCAAAGCCGGGAAGCCCTCCGCGTAAAGACTATGCGGCTGGACCCCACCCCCCCCCCCCCCCCCCCCACCAGAGTCTGGAGAACCCCTGGGTAGAGTCAGGACATCCTCCTCTCTGGACCCTAGGATCCCCTTTATCTCCAGACTTGGGGTCACTTATTTCCCAAAGACGACCCCCATCTCACGTTCTACCAGTGCTTCCTCCCTCCGTTTACCCCTAGGGCTTGCAGGGATGAGTTCACACCTGGTTGGGGAGTTCGGGTGGTGTTTGCAGGCAGGTTTGCATTCCCAAGAGGCAAGAGACCTGGGATGGGGTCAGATCAGGCTGAGAGGACTCCCAGATGTCTCCCAGCTCTAAACTTCAGTCCCTCCCACTCAGGGCACACATCGGGGTCAGAAGCAGGCCAGGGGTGAGTCTGTGCCTCGGCACTGAGCTGTGTTTGCTGGAGGAGGATGTTGCCACCCTCTCAGCTAAGCCAGACCTCACTATACTCTTCTGTAAAATGGGCAGAGGCAGAGCTGTACACAGTAGATCCTTTGCCCACAGCCTTTCAGCCTTAGCCCAACAGCCGCAGATGTGGGGACTGTCCCTACTAGCTGTGGAAACCCAGGCCTAGAGGGCCCTAGGACGGGACAGGAAGAGGCCCCAGAGGCACTTCCTTTCCCCTGAGACTTAAGGGAAATTGGTCACACCCCTGGTGCCACTCAACCAGCTGCTTCATTAAGACACTGGGGTGAAGCTTGCAGAACCGCCACATAACGTCGGGTGAGGCCCTGCTCCTCTTTGGGCCCTGGGGACCCATCTGTGAAAAGGACTCACCACATCCTGCACCTTCTCCTGGGCTTACAGCCTCCAGGGCTTCACTTGGCCCTGGAAGAAGGTACTAGACTTTCATTTCAATCCCAGAGTTCCCTCCTCCATGCAGCCCCCCAGGCTGATGGTTGTGTCTACAGCCTCTGCCCCTCCCTTAGGTACGGCTCTGACCCAATGCCTCTGTGGTCACTCTGACTGCAGGGCACCATGTCCGATTATGACCCCCCCCCCCACTGGGGGTTCCGAGGCCTCAGGAGGTCAGACTCCACAAAGGTGACCTCGGGGGTAAGGGGTGGGTTCGAGCGGCTGAGCATCTCGCTGCCACCAGAGGGCGCAGGCGCCCTGCAGAGCGCGACCAGGAAACCCTTCCCTCAGAAATGCTCTTTGAGGTTCTTGTCTGAGTACACTGAGGCCCAGACAACAGTCATACCGTTTCGTGGGTGGCTCCTGGGGTTCATGGGAAGTCCCCTCCACTTGGCTCTATCTGTGAAGGGATTGGGGCAGGGTGGGGGTGCCAGGAGAGGGCCCAAGGGCTGCGCCTACCGGGCGTGTAGGAGTTTGGGGGGGCCGCAAGTTGCGACGTGAACATCGGGTGATGGGAACAGCTTGGGCAGAAACGCTAAGCCGTGACCGAGTGGCGATATGTGGGGAATGGGCCAGAGACCTGGGAGCAAGGCTCTCTGGAGGCGGAGGGTGTCCAAGCAGGGGCTACACCGTGATTCATGCACAATACTCTGAGGTCGGGCCGATTTTCTTCCAGCTCTACAAACGACAAACGTGGAAACAGGCTCAAGAGGTTGTCACTAGCCCGGGGTCATCCAGCTGAGCGGGATTCGAATCACAAGAGGGGGCAGCAGGTGCCCAAGCAGAGGGAGGCCCTACCCACTTCCTCCTCCTTCCCGCATCGCTCAGAGTGGGGAATTGACGCTCAGTCTAGTCCGAGGCTCTCCGGCCCCGATTGGAGCCAGGCCATTCCGCAGCCTTCCCGCTCGGAGCTGGACATGCCTTGAGTCAGATCTGCAAGCTGTGGCCAGTTGATGATTAAACCTAGTGGCCCCATGCTCTTGCTGGGCCTGGGGCCCGCTCCCGGCCCTGTTTCCCCCTCTTTATCCCCGAGGTCCGCGAGAGACCGGCTCTGGTCCGCGATGCTTCAGTCTCACGCTAGGGTCAACGAGGGTAGAGGGCAGATGCAGAGTTTGTTGTTTTGTTTCACGCCTGGGCGGAGCCACGCCCCTCGCCGCGCCATTGGCGTATTCCTTTCTGGGGGTGGGGCCCGCGTCGCGCCCCACCCCTCCCGCCGTATAAAGGCAGCGCCGGCGCTGGCCGCGCAGGAATTTCTGACCTGGTCCGGAGTGCGCCTGCGCACCCCGGGCAGGTTCGCGTTCTGAGACTGTATCCTCCACGCCTCGCGCCACCGCGTCGCGGGTTCGAGGCCAGGGTCTGTGCGTCGCGGGTTCGCATCCCAGGCGCGATGCTGTTCGACAAGGTGAAGGCTTTCGTGGTGCAGCTGGATGGCGCGAGCGGCGGCGCCGAGCCGGTTTTCAGCGGCGGCCAGGCCGTCGCCGGCCGGGTGCTGCTGGAGCTGGCGGGCCCGGCGCGCGTGGGCGCCTTGAAGCTGCGCGCGCGAGGC